GTTACATTTTGAGAAGCCAGAATTGTATCAAAAATATAGTACTGAATAAACAAAATGAAACTAAAACACTGGCCTTCCAAATTAAGTAGCTTCTTCTATTGCAGGCACTTACTGGAAGACAGCCAGGTACTGCTTGGCAAATTCTAATTCAGTGGTCCTCAACCCTCCTAATGCCACCACCCTTTAATATAGTTTCTCATGTTGTGGTGACCCCCAACCATAAAATTATTCTGGGTGGCAGCATTAGGAAGGTTGAGAACCACTGCTCTAATTCTTTATTCAACTCACTTTATATACAATAAACCCTGATGAACAGCTAAAGGACTAGGAATACTCCAAAAGCAACTCAAAAATAGATGAAATTTAGCCTCATATGATGTTCAAAAGAGAAAAATAACCAAATACTCTTACCTGTGTCCACATGGCTTCAGTTGTGTGTCTGCCACCTCATCGCAACAAAGGGAGCAGCAGTTTTCTCGGATACTCACTTGCTTCAACAGAGCAAGACGCCTGTGCCTGAGTAGAAAAAGCAGTTTGCAATTCATTTTGTCGATAAGTAAGTGGGGCCTATTAGCAGCCATGCATATGAAATGTTTTGAAAATACTTTTGAAAATGTGAGCTATATTCCTTCAGCTTTGTCAGTAATATAACTCATTTCAATCTTACAATGATTTCCTGAAGTAGGGAAAGAAGGAAGCATGGCTACTACTATTTTACAAAGAAACTAAAGTTTGAGGGAATGATTTGCATAAGATAAATAGAGTAAAAAATCAAATCCAAATCATTTGGGCCTAAGTTCAGTGCTTTAAAATTTTTTAGCAGGGCCAGGCGAGGTGGCTCACACCTATAATCCTAGCACTCTAGGAGGCTGAGTGGGGTGTACTGCTTGAGCTCAGGAGTTCAAGATTAGCCTGAGCAAGAGCAAGACCCCATCTCTATTAAAAATAGGAAAAAATAGTTAGGGCTCGGAGCCTGTGGCTCAAGCGGCTTAGATACCAGCTACATACACCTGAGCGGGCGGGTTTGAATCTAGTCCGAGTCCGCTAAACAACAATGACAGCTGCAACCAAAAAAATAGCTGGGTGTTGTGGCGGGCGCCTGTAGTCCCAGCTACTTGGGAGGCAGAGGCAGGAGAATTGCTTGAATCCAAGAGATGGAGGTTGCTGTGAGCTGTGATGCCACAGCACTCTACCCAGGGTGACAGCCTGAGGCTTTATATCCAAAAAAAGAAAATAAATAAAGAAAATATAGTTAGGTATTGGGGCACATTCCTATAGCTCAGCTATTTGGGAGGCTGAGGCAAGAGGATTCTTTGAACCTTTGAGTTTTAGGTTGCTGTGAGCTATGATATCATGGCATTCTGCCAAGGGTGGCAAAGTGAAACTCTGTCTCAAAAAAAAAAAAAAATTACCAGCTAATTTCAGCATTTTAAGTCATATATCTCTGAGAGTTTTATGAAAAGCAAAAAGGTTTTCTCAAGAAAAACAACCTAGAGGTTTTTATACAATTTCAAGGGGTTTATGACAGTTTCTGTAGACTCCCTGCAAATCCAGGCACCTCAGGTTACAACCCTTCCATTACACTTTCAATTAGCATGGAATGGAATGAAACATTCATTCTATTTACCTATGTGCGCCCGGCACTATTCTAAGCCCTGGGGATTCAGCAGTGACTAGAGGACTAAGAAGTATCCCTGTGTTCAAAGGGCTTATATTACAGTACGGGAAAACAGAAACAAGATGAAATACAATATACAGAACAATTAAATGATGATGAATAATATGAAGAAAAAATAAAACAGGAAGAAGGATGAGGAGTATGTACATGAGAGGTATGGGGTTATTATTTTA